ACACAGAGGTGTTGAAATAAAAAAAGTGGAACATGTGTTTGTTAATGATCTAAAGGGAAAAGAAGATTAGATCATTTAGATGATGCCGGTTACAAAGGGAAGCCTGAGACCCTCAGAGATTCAGATACAGAGGTAGAACCAAAATGCTAACAGGAACTTGGATTAAATGAAGAATCAGAATCAGACTTAAACAGACATTAGGACACAAAGACCTGAGAATTATGAAAGGAACCAGCAAATAAAGTGGAAGCTAGACTGCTCCTATACAGGCGAAGAAGGCAGGAAGGCGGCAACACAGTCAGGAGTTACTGGAGGAGGAAATGGAAACAGCTGAGGCAAATGAAGGGAATGAGAGCTGAGGGAGGAAGAAAATAATTAAATAAAAATATCTTTACAAGATGGATGAACTAAATTGACAGCAACAACCTACAACTGATATATTTTCAGATATATTTCTGCTTCCTTGGTTCTAATAAGCTTTCTTCACATGTCAGGTTATTTTTGTCTTAAAAAGATGATTATTAATGTAACAGAAATATGTTTTTAACTCTTGAATTCTGTTTAACATCCTTTTTCTAACTTTGTTTAAAAAACAATTTTCAGATATATATTTTTTTTCAATGCATACACATTAAGAATCGTTTTAAATTTAATGTTAAAAACATTCTTAAACAGATAAAATGTTTTTCTTTGTTGTTGTTTGCTGTCAAATCAGAAAAAGCTGCTAAATGTCCTGCTTTTTTATCCTGTTGCACATTTATTATGCATCATTTTGGATACAAACCTCAATTAATAAAACTTTGGAACAATGTTTGTTGATGGAAATTATTTCTAAAAGCGACACTTGGTCAAATAAATGCACACCTCCAGTTTGATGACGCCACACCAGAAACAGATCACTGCAAAATATCTAAATCTTGATAAGTCATTTTTTTCTTAAAATCAGTGCATTTGTGAGACAAAGGATACATCTTGACAATGGAACAAGACAATTTAGATTTAAAATAGGAAAACACAAATGCATTGTCTTCTTTAAAGTAAATATTATCTAATTATCTTATTTTAAGAGTAAAAATACTGATTCCATTGGCAAACTATCCCATTTACCTACTTAAATCAAGGGAAAATACACTTAATTTAAGAAATTTTCACTTATTTCTAGATGGTTTTTCCAGTGATCCAGATCTTTTCAACAGACTTCACTGCAAAAAAATATAGAAATAAGTAATTATTCTTAAAATTTGTGTTTTCAACCTTAATTTGAGTAGGTAAATAAGATAATTTGCTAATAAAATGAGTATTTTTACTCCTAAAATAAGATAATTAGATAAAATGCAATTTAAATAAGGCAATGCAATTTTTTTTTTCTTATTTTAGATTTAAATTGTCTTGTTCGTTTGGCATACCTCCTCTATTCAAGAACAAATGCACTTTTTTAAAGAAGAAATTACTTTTTAGATTTAACATTTTTGCAGTGTTCTGTTCATTAAAACTTCTCTATGGTGTATAAATGATGCCACAACAAATAGCATTAAAGATCTTTTAACATCTAATGCGGCATTTATTCTAGGAACACTACAAAAAATTTAAATCTAAATAAGTAATTTTTTCCTATAATAAGCACACTTTTTCTTGAACTGAGGTGGTAAGTGAGACACTTTGCCAATGGAAAAAGACAATTTACATTTAAAATAAGAAAACAAAATTTCATTGTCTTATTTCAAGTGCATATTATCTAATTATCTTATTTTCAGAGTAAAAATACTGATTCCATTGGCAAATAAACTTATATACCTACTCAAATTAAGGGTATATAGACTAAATTTANATCTAATTATCTTATTTTCAGAGTAAAAATACTGATTCCATTGGCAAATAAACTTATATACCTACTCAAATTAAGGGTATATAGACTAAATTTAAGACATTTTTAATTATTTCTGGATCGTTTTTGCAGTGAAGCAGTCACAGCCCTTTAAACCAGCAATCACTTCCTGGTCCAGCTTTAGCCTCTTTGCCAAACATCCATCAGCGTCCCTCATCTGTTTACACTCGTGTTTACAAAATGACTAAATACATCTGTCTAAGTCTACAGAATTTATTCTCAGTTTATTCTGGAAAAATAAAAATGTTAACCACCCAGGCAAAAACAAAAATGGTTTCTTTGACAAAAAACAAACAAAAAAATGCCCTGAAGAAACGCAACCCCACATCATGATGCTGCCGCCACCATGTTTTACTGTGAAGAGACTGTTCTTTTTGCTGCGAAATGTAGGCCTACTGTACCCTGGAACGGTAGCCCAAAGGTCAAAGTTCAAAGGTTCAAAGTTTCCAACTGTAATTATTACTTGACCCTGTTGCCACACGTTAAACCATCCAGCGGTGAGCAGATGATCGTCTTTCCTCCTGCACCTGTCACTTTGTGTAAAATCCCTGTTTGAATTAATCAGAAATAATATAACTTAGGTTGAAAATAATGTAGAAATCCTTTGTTTATTTTTATTCCATTCTATTCAGTTTATTTCTATAGCGCCAATTCTCCACGCATGTCATCTTTGCAGTTCACCAGATCATCCAGTTAGATTCAAAGTTTTCTATCTAAGGAAAACCAGCTGATTGCATCGACTGATTGACTCTTCAGCAATCCCTCACACTAAGCATGCTTGTAGCGACAGTGGAGAGGAAAAACTCCCTTTGAACAGGAAGAAACCTCCAGCAGAACCTGCTTCCTTTATGCAGGAATTCATTAGAGGATACATTTGAAACGATTTGGACCAATCAGAGCCTGGAGTCAACTGAGAAGGGAAAACTAATTATACATGAATCTAACCTCTTTAGTCTAGTTTTATTTTTCTAAAAATTAAAACCAATAAAAAAATGTAAACAATTGGTCTAGATGTGAAATAAATCAGATAGTTTGTTTAAAAATCCTTTTAAACATGCTGGATTTTATATATCATAGTGCAGCTGCTGTCAACTTGCATTCCTGGTGTTATAGGAACAACATCTGGAAGCGTTGTTAGTTTCTTCACCCTGTTTGAGGCGAAGGTTTCAGAATAACGATGCTATCCCTTTAAGAGAGGTCAGAGAACAAGAACAATAAGATGTTTTCAGATGATTTCAGAATAAATATAAAAGCAGAACTGGAGTTTCTCTAAAGTCATCAGCAGGGAGGCTTTCCAGCAAAGATCAGAGGCGGATCATCGAGTGATTAGAGACGTTCTAATATTTGANCCCTATGTCCTCCAGCAGTCTAAGCCTATAGCAGCAGAACTATAGAGATAGCTCAGGATAACCTGAGCCACTCTAACTAGAAGCTTTATCAAAAAGGATAACAAAATGGAGAATTAATAAAAATAAATAGCTTTAAATCATACCTAATAAAGGCTAAAAAAAAAAAAACAAGCATGTTTGTTGTTTTCTTTATGTAGGAGCCAAATATTTTTGTTAATAATTAACTAAGTTTTTTGCTTTTATTTTTTTGGTTATTAAGTGGTGTTCTTTTGTTTCTGGTTAGTTCTGATTAATTAGGGTGAATTAAGTTTATAAATAGGCTGATAATGGTAGGACCAGCATGCATCTGGGTGGACATATGTTTTTTTTTTTTTTTTACCAGTGCAAGAGAAGCATGGAGGAAATTTGTATCATTTTCTGTTTGCTTGCATGAGGAGAAATAAACTAAGAAAACATTTGTGGACTTTTTTGTGGGCCACAACACTTTACCTACAGAACAGGGAGAAGATTTTATTCAGAAATTGTGGAAGATTAGCGTTATTACACGCGTTAAATGATACAGGTTGACTGAAATGTTCAGCCAATTATTTAGAGCCACATGATTTGCAGACTTTTGGCCTAGCCAAAGCCCAGACCTAAAAAAGAGAAGAATAAAAATAAAAAGAGAAGTACTGATTGAAAAACAATACTAGATGAAGCAATGCAGCAAATATGCAGAACATGTACAGCTAACCAGCTGACTCAGACTTAACATAATCAGAGAATAACTTTTTCTAGTATTTATATCGGGTTTGCACAGATATTTGGATGTTTTATGTGTAATTATTATTTTGGTTTTTTTTAGGTATGCAGGTTGTGGGGAAACCTTAGGAAGCGCAGAGCTGTGAGAGCTTTTCAGATCCTATAATTAGTACCAGCAGTAGTCAGGTTCTCCCTGGGGCCCCTGCCTGTCTATCTGGCCCCTAACTGGGATAAGGAGCAGAGACATTACCGGACTGTGGGAACCAGATTATTAACTAGAAACATTTATTATTTCACTCAAATAACTTTTAGATTTTGTTTTTAACCTTTTTTTTTTTTAGTTTGTTAAATTCCTCCAGCCCCACCCATAGAAGGACTCCCCCTGCAGGATTTAAGCAGTAGATGTTTAATGAGTCGGCCAGCAGGGGCCGCTGTGGAGCTGTGATGTTTTCCTTGCAGTCAGTAAATGCAGCAGGTCTGAACTCGTCATTAAATGCAGGCATCCTCCTCTTCCTCCCCCCTGATGCACCGCCCTCTTCTCCACCATCATCAGTCCATCATCAGCCTCCAGCAGCTCTTCTCCCTGATCGGAATGTAAGCCGTGTGTCTTTATTCCCAGCCCGGTTCCGCTCCCGGATGGATGGATGGTTGATCAGGGTTGGGATCCGCCGCCCCTGCAGCCTGCTGGGGACTCGGGGGATGGGGGCTCTGCAGGGCCCCAGGGCCGCGCTGTGAAGGTGGAGGAGACGCGTCCAGCTGTGGGGGAAGATGGTGAGTGCTTCCATGGTGCAACAGCTGCAGGGGGGGGGGGGGGGGGTAATGACAGTGTGACCCGGATGGACGCATCAGCATCGACCGTCTCATTAAAACTAATGGATCAATCCTTGGTGTGGTCAGAGGTCTGAGCTGTCCCACGGTCCGTGAAGGCGTCTAGGAAAGATACATTTATTTATTATAATTATTTAGACAGAAATGAGTCAATCTGCTGCTCTTCTCTTTTCCTTCATCTCTCTCGTTTACCAGCTTATCATATAGATATAAAAGCCTTAGATTATCATCATAAAAAAAGCAAAAAATTCAACAGAGATGCTTTTCTTTTAGAAAAACAATCCACACTAAGAGCCTTTTTTCAAGAGGACTAGAAACAAAGCCACAGCTCTAGAGCAGAGAGCTTGAGGCAGGGGCTTTAAATGGGTTTGATCTGAGCTGGAAAGCTTCCAGATCAAAGTTAGAGGCTTTAATGTGTTTCTATTTCTGGGTGGAAGCGTCTGTCTCCAGGTTTGATGGTCCTGATAGGCTGCATTCCTGATGGTAGATGATAGCAGGTCTGTGAGGGGGATTAATCAGCTTCATTCAAACCCACAATCAGACCTGAACCAAAGCCGTCATGTTCTGATAAAGCTCTCCAAAAAAACATCATGGAAGCATCTTCCTTGCTCTGACTCTGATCTGATGCATTCATGGTCTCGGTTCAAAATTCTGCTCTGTCTGAACCTTGTCAGGCTCTCTGTGTTGCATCACAGTTTGAAAAGTGTTGGATAAATAAAAGCGGGTGTGTCTGAGTCATTCATCCACCATGAACTATTCTGAATTTCAGCTTTGTTTCATTTATGACATGAATACTGTTTATTTTTCTGCACAGCTGGATTTCATAAAACTGGTCGATGCTGCAGGGTTGCACTAAGGAAACAAAGTATAGATGATCCTATTCCTGCACCAAACCATCAGTTTTTCTTCAGTGGAATAGAAATAGAAACAATAGAACAGAACAATAGAGTTTCCTGCAGAAACTTTGGTGCATTGAGGGTTTAGAGTAAATCCGTTTAAAGCTGGAGGCATAATTTCCTCCAGCTTTTTCGTGTTCCTGCAGCTAAACGACACAAACTCACCACAGGAGATGAAGATGCAAGTTTGCTTTAGTGCAGTCACATGTCTGAGAGCCTGCAGGCCTGTGAAAGGCATTCTGGGAAGTGTAGTCTGTTGCTAACTGAAGCAGCTGCTGCAGGTTGCAGGGAGGATGGAAGGCATGAGCTCCTCTGCAAGGAGTGTTTTCTTTGCATGTTATCAGTTCAGTCAGCCGGAACGGGGCAGCTTCTTAAGTCCATCGGGGGGAAGGAATGCTACCATATGTCACATTAGCAGTGGGACAGGATGGCGTTGGTCTCATGAGATGAAGCTTGATGGTGGAAGAAGCTAGATTGACTGTAGCCTGATGAGAAGATGGCAGCAAACCAAGAGCAGTGTTGCCAACTTAGCGCTTTAGTCGCTATATTTAGCCACTTTTCAGACCCCTCTAG